CTGTCTCCCTTGCTGCAGCAGCTGTCTCCTTTGCTGCAGCAGCTGTCCCCTTGCTGCAGCAGCTCTTCCCTTGCTGCAGCAACTGTCTCCCGCTGCTGCAGCAAGTGTCTCCCGCTGCTGCAGCAAGTGTCTCCCGCTGCTGCAGCAAGTGTCTCCTGCTGCTGCAGCAAGTGTCTCCTGCTGCTGCAGCAAGTGTCTCCTGCTGCTGCAGCAAGTGTCTCCTGCTGCTGCAGCAGCAGTCTCCTTCAGTTTTCTCTGTCTCCTTAGTTGTCTCCTGAGGTGTCTCCTTTTGTCTCCTTTAATCTTTTTTTTATTTTTTTATTTTATTTTCTTTTGTCTCCTTTTGTTTCTTTTTTTGTCTCTTTTTATTAAATCTCTTTTGTTGTCTTTTTGTCATTTCTTTTATTCCCCGCCAAATGCTTTATCCTGCTGCTTTTGCTGCTGCTGCTGCTTTTGCTGCTGCTTTTGCTGCTGCTGCTGCTTTTGCTGCTGCTGCTGCTTTGCTGCTGCTGCTGCTGCTGCTGCTGCTGCTGCTTCAGGGGTTCTACTGCAGCGGCGCGGCGTGGACACCTGCGCCCCACCCCGAGGAGACAAATCCAGATGCTGCTGCTGCTGCTGCTGCTGCTGCTGCTGACTCTCCTGCTGCTGCTGCTGCTGCTGCTGCTGCTGCTGCAGTGGGGGGCCCCTGCCCTGTGGGGTTTTACTGCCCCGAGGGGACAGCTACTCCCATTGCCTGTCCGGAGTAAGGAGACACTGAAGCAAACAAATAATTAATTTATTTAATTAATTTAATTAAATTTATTTTATTTAATTTATTTTATTTAATTTAATTTATTTAATTTAATTTAATTTAATTTATTTAATTTATTTAATTTAATTTAATTTAATTTAATTTGAATTAGTTTAAATCCCTCAAGTGTCTCCTTTTTGTCCCTTTTTTGTCTCCTCCAACCGACCAAACCTCCACCCAAATCAAACAATCAAATAAACTAATTAATTAATTAATTAATTAATTAATTAATTAATTAATTAATTAAATTATTTATTTATTTATTTATTTATTTATTTATTATTTATTTATTTATTTATTTATTTATTTAATGCAGAGGCACAAGTTCGAGTGTCTCCGGGGGCCGCAGCGCAGCAGACTGTCTTATTTATTTATTTATTTATTTATTTATTTATTTATTATTTATTTATTTATTTATTTATTTATTTAATGCAGAGGCACAAGTTCGAGTGTCTCCGGGGGCCGCAGCGCAGCAGACTGTCTCCCGTGTCTGCCGGGTCTCTTTTGTTCTGCT